AACATTTGTTTGAATTGAAGACCAAACGTTCAATGCAAATCCTAGCTTTTCCTTATAGACCAATTATTATTAATACACAATCAATATGACAAATATGACAAATTTTTACCGGTATAACACTGTAAAAGTAGTGTAATCGGACAACTTCGACTTCTATCCACATCGATAGTAACAGAAGTCGGTGTCAATAAATAGAATGTAATCTTACCACAAAAATGTCCCTAAGTTAACTAATACATAGTAAAATTAATATTAATAATTTAATGTGTAAAAAAGGTAAAATAAAGACAACAATATTTGCTTCTATGTTATTTGAATTACAAATCTAACTTGTTTATTTTTATAAAAACCATGGTTCATGATGTAATGCCAAGTCATGGCTGAAGACTGAAGTTGGTGGTTGGGCACTTTCTCAAAATTTTCCACAATAAAATGAACACCTAGAGAATAGATTAAACCTTAGTGGACACACCACTATAAACCATAAAAGTAACATTAATAATTAATATTAATTATAAGTTTATAACAAGACAATCTAACTAGTGCAACATATAAATAAAAGAACAAAAAATAAAAATCACTCCTTTTCAACCACTCCACTCTTCCTAATCCAAATCCCCACAAAAACCTTTTAAAAAACTCACAATTCTAATTTAACGTCACCCTCTCAAACTTGCATTATGAACTCAAAATCCTCATCCCTCTTGCATCTTTTGACAATCTTGATTATTTTTTTCCCAGTTTCAATTGATTGTGATGATGCAAAGGACAAACAAGAATGTGCACAGTCATTGGCTGGGCTTGCCACGTGTCTGCCATACGTTGGTGGCTCAGCTAGAACCCCCACATCAGATTGCTGCACCGGCCTGAAGCAGATTTTGAAGACCAATAAAAAGTGCCTTTGTGTGGTTGTAAAGGACGGAAATGACCCTGACTTGTCCCTCGGTATTAATGTCACACTTGCTTTGGGCCTTCCTCAAGCTTGCAATCAGCCTGCTAATGTTTCACAGTGTCCTGGTAAGTGCAAGCTCGAAACCCGAGCTCGACTCGTTTACATCTCTAAATCGCTGCCTGTAAAACATTTGTGAATAATTTTATTTTGCATATAATTATTAATAAATGTTGGTATAAAAAAAATCGAGTTTATGTACATAATCATGAACCTTATAGTGTTGATATGATTTAACTTTGAAATATATTTTGTGCAGCTTTGCTCAACTTGCCTCCAAATTCACCAGGGGCTCAGATTTTCTATAAGTTTGGGCCCAAATCCAGCAATGCTCCTGCCAGTAGCCCACTTGCTGGAGGCCCAACTCCCAATGGTATATGTATTTGAGAAAACTACACCGTTCACCTACAAATTTCTATTTATTTGTTTATTTATAAATTTTTTGTTTTTAATTACAAATGTATTAACTTTTACAGATTTATAACTCGTTTATGAATGATTTATGATTAATTTTACATGCCCTAGAAATAAATTTTATTAACGAACTTATTGAAGATCATTATATGTTTCGTGCAGGAGCTAACGGTCCAAGTGCTGGTGTTCGAGGCGTTGGGGGGAGAACAAACATAAGGCAGCCTCGTATCAATCATGGATCTTGCATCCAAGTGAAGAGAAATTGGCTTGGATTGGAAATAATGTTTGGACTAATTCTATCATATGGTTTAGTTATGTATTATTAGGTTCAATATCATCTTTGGATTTGAGGAATAGCTCTTTGATAGTTGATACTCAAAACTCTTGTTTGGGACAATATCTATTAGTTTGTACTCCATCTTGAGAATCAGTTACTTATTTCAAGTAAAATAAAAATAAGATGTTAATGAGTAGAAAATTATTGTATGAGGACAATCTAACGAGTCGACCCATCATATTATGTGAATAGAAATGTATACTTGTGTTATTAAATGCCATACTTTTATTTTTAAAAGTATGACATTTTATATGAGAATATGCTTGTAAGATATTCATACGAGGAATGGGAATGACATTAAAACGTGACGATAAAATTTGAACAGCTTCTCAATTAGAGATGTTAAACGGGCTAGCCCTAGCGGGCTTCGGGTTAAATGGTCCGGGCCTAAAAAGTCCGGATATAGACGAGCTACCAAAAAAAAGACCTAACCCTAACCCTAGCGGGCTTCGGGCTAAACAGGCTATGCGGGCTATGACTATAATAATAATAATAATAATAATAATATATAAAATAAAAAATAAAAAGAGTAAAAAATATAAAAAAAAATAACAACGACTAGTTAAAAATTATTTTCAACGGCTATTTAGTATTTACCGTCTATCACTATGTTTCATGTATTTCTTATTATTCGTTCTGATTAGCTTAAATATTTTGGTATGAAGTACAATAACAATATTGTTAATAATTATTTTTCAAAATCATAATAATCCATTACAACTCGTACTTACATGTGAAGTGGAATATCAAAATTGTAATATACAAGGAATCTAAGAGCATATTACTTACTTGATGCAAACATTTACACCGCCCAACCCTAGTTAAATGGGCCAACCCTAGCGGGTTTCGGGCTAAACAGTCCGAGCCTAAAAAGCCCTGATTTAAACGAGCTACTAATAAAAGGACATAATCCTCTTTTTTTCTGGGCTAAACGGGCCGACCCGTCGGGCCAAGAACCATTTAACATCTCTATTCTCAACAACCCTGCCTAGTTATTTTAAATATAATATTGTTACTTATATTATGTGGTGAAAAATAAATTAGCTCGAGAACTTTTTGTCAAAAGGGCATTACAAAGCATCTTATTTTTCATCACATACATAATTTACCTACAATAAATGAGATCTGTTTTTTTAGTTATTTAGTTTATCACCAATATCTTATGTTTTCATCACAATGATTAAAAGGCATCTATTTATGAATAAAAAACTGACTCACAGCACATAACTTGCATCTTATTTTTCAGTAGATACTAAATACATATAATTTGTTTACAATATATGTGAGCTCCTTTTTTACATGTCCGATAGCATCTCATAAAAACTTCTTCACACTGAAGATTAGTCTGAAAATTTTCATCACAAATATTTCATTGTACTAATCTGATTTTGGCAAGGATGCATAGCACAAAATTTCTCTGTATACAAAGTCTATAGCTAGTGCTACAACTCAAATGAAAAATAACGACCGACTCATCCGAATGTGGTTACAAAATGAATGAAAAAGAAGAATGGATTAATTCATAAATCAGTTCTCACTTGGCACGAAATTAGTGGAAGTCGTAAGCAATGTCTGCTGCAGATGTATCCATGTCGTTAAGACCCAAGTCCTCATTTTGCTCCCAAGATCTCTCGTACTCCTCGACTGAATGCCATACATTGAACATTTTTTAAGTAAGCACAGCTCAGCCGTTATTAATCAAAGCATGAGAAATTACTACCACGTAAAGTATACATTCGTATATAAACATCATCATCTCATATTCAGGTGAGCACGTAAAATTTTCCAGGCAGGTCAAAAATTAAGTACACTGAAAGGTAAAAACTTACAGATTAACTGGGTGTCATCCTTAATTTCATCGGTTGCAGGGGCAACAAAGGAATTTGACAGAGCATCATCAATAACTAGAGTCCATGGGTCATCCAAGTTTTTCAGCTGTAATTGAAGTTCAATGAGTAAATCAATAGAACAGACATGAATATAAAATTTAACCAAAATATAAAAAGGTGAATGGGAATTTCGAATTGTCGATCAATAATATGAACAAAAAAAAAAAAAAAAGGCAAAAAACATGGGAAGATAAACAAGGGTTTCAAAAGATCCAGGTTCAAAGCACACCTTGTCAAGTTTTGATCTAAAATCTTTCCACTTGCTCTTTCTGGAGTCGTCCAGACTATCGCCAAAAGTAAATCCATGAACTCTCTCAAGACCTGTAGTTTGTTAAAAATGCTGAGAATAGTCCAATCCAGCTAAATAGAGCAGCTAAAACAGAAATAGAGTGGTATGCTATGAATGATAAGAAGTATAGCGAAAACCCTCACTTTCACTAATCTTGGATATTAAACCTTCAACAGTTGTAACAAGTCCACCTAATGTACCACTGGCCAGTTCCAAATCAAGCTCAGGTACTTTTACAGAGGCTGTATCAGACTGCGATGATCCAGATGGTGATAATTAGAAATAACAACGAAACGCATATAAGAAACACCAGCAGGTTTAATGGTAGGGTATTTTCATTAACTGACCCATCTATAGTAGAAGCAGCAATTAACAGTTCATGTTCTGAGAAAAGAAATGAGATTTAAAAAATTGAATTTCGCCTCATAAATGACAGAAATAATCACGAGAGTTACCTTTATAACATCTCGGCTGAGATCTTTTACGTTCTTCACATGAACAATGATCTTTTTCCCTTTATCAGGAATACGTCCACCAGGCTTCACCTGCATTGTTCGATGTAAAATCATATTTTTCTTCCATAAGGAAAACTGGACAAACTAAGCACATGCCCAAGCTTAAAAAAAAGTTAAGATTGATAATAACCTCTGAGTTACGGTAACCACAAGCGTCACAAGAGGAGGCCATAACAATCACTTCTTGGAAGTAAGGAATATCTATCTATGGTTAAGCTAACAATTATGATAAACAAAAGCAGAAACCAATCTCTAAGATATAATAATTTATCAATGATTCTTTATCTGTTAAGAGTAAATTAAACACAATTGCCTGTGTCAGTGAGCACATTTGTGTGTGTGTGCGTGTAACTAAGTTATAAAAACCTTTTCGGAAAACTTAATAATAACCGACTTGCACACTATTTTTCAAGTATGGACATTGCAGTAGGATACTTGTAATGAACATGCGACACTCGCATTGGGCAGCACAAGCTCCACAGGTTGATGGAAAAGTCATGACCTGCCTCACAAGGATGGGGGCAACGTTTTTCAAGTAAAATTATTAAGGAACAAAAAAAAAAAAAAGTACCAACACTATGCGTGTTTGTGTGTGAGAAAAGCAGATTTACCTCTTCAGGAGCAGAATATCGAAATAAGGCGTCCGCAATTTGAGAACTATTACCCTGAGCAATGGCTTGGCGTCCAGCTCTTGCTCCAACCGAACCATGTGGTTCAACTTGCCTCTGAGGAGCATCACTTGTTTCCTCTAAAGTATTACGTGTGCTTGGATCTTCTTGAGATGGGTCCACAAGGTAACCTAAGGCAGCTTGCTGTTCAGGTGTTCGCTCATAGAACTTAATCGTCAATGATGGATCGAGTGCCGGGGCAAACCTATTTAACCATACATAATTATTTATCTTAAAATTTGTTCGAAGACTTATTGGTGTAGCCATGATTATATTAAAAAAAAAAAAAAAAAATCGTACGGATTTTCAATGAAACTATTTCCAGCAGGATCGTCAAGAATGAAGGTAAAACTTGATTCAGCAGTTGCACAAGCTCTCAGTTTTACCAAGAAGTCATCGATGGCTTCAGCTGTGTGGGGATCCACTTTCTGATAAAACAAGGGTAAAAGTATTAATAAGATGATGATGCCTGCAAAGTGAACAAGAACATGAGCAAAATTCTACCTTCCGCTCCTGCTGAAGTGCTGCCAACTCATCTGCAGCTCTCATCAGCGTTCCTTCAACCTAAGAACGGATCAGAAAAGACGACAAATCAGTTAAATGGCAAGGAGAATGGGGGGGACAGCAAACGGTACAATTGGAAAATATGAACTAAGACACATGAAACTCAATAAAGCAACAAAAAGTCCATTCAGAAACTGGAATTGGAAATAATTACTTCTTCAATGTGAGCCACAAATTAAGAATGCTTCATTTGGATGCGGAAGAAATTAACATTAGAAAAAAAAAAACAAATAAGTATGAAGAATTGGATTAACATGCACGAAAGTGATTAGCTATTTCCAACCGCCACTGGAATGGCCATATACGAAAAATGAAATATCTGCAATTGGTTAATTCCATTAGAACTTGAACTAGTTGCGCAGAGAAGAGGAACAGAAGAATGAATTATCTTCTGCTTTCACCCTATGATGTCCTGAAAAGATCGTGTCCCTAAATTAAATAATGTGTAGCAGTTAACTCATATCCCGGAAATTACTACAGAACCAGCATTAGCGCAAGAAAACAGCGAGTTAAGCAAAAGATTTCGATAGAGACTTACATACCGTTGATAAAGACCCCCGCTGAGCCTCGGGAGGGATCTCAAATTTCAATTCAGGTATCTGCATAGTGAACATAAGTAATGAGGGAGGAAAAGCGAAAGTGCCCATGAATAGTAATTTCTCCAAACAAGTACGAAAATCATATGCCTTGAATGAGAAAAACAAATCAACACTCTATAGTATAAAAACCTGCTGCTTGACTTTAACCACTTCTTTAAAAATCATGCACACATGCATTCAAGAACTTAACCGACCAGAAGATAAGTACCTTAATTGTGGCTGTTTCTGACTTCACAACTTGGCGATTGAACATCTGTGCAAACATGCAGACAACATTTAAACTATAGAACTCAACAAAAACAATAGTTTACTGAACACACACAAACACTGACAATCGTTTATACACACACACACACACACACACACATATATCGGTTCTTGAGGCGCCCACATATTGACATGTGAAGAGCCTATCCTACAACATCCAACTCCTTAGGACACAACCTTTTGATCACCCGATGGAACTTCCAGCAAGTAATGACAACCTTTAGGTTGGATTTCCCCCGCAAATTGCACTTCATTATTCCTTCAGAATGAAGAGAAGAGGAGTTAGAATTTAAAAAATAACCACCAATCCAAGAAAGACTATCAGTTAAGAGGGCCATGGGAGAACCAAAAGGATAATTACCTTTCACCACAATGGGGACATTCGAAAGCTGATAATAATATCTGTCGCAAAAGATATATGGAATTAAAATACAAAGAACAATATTAAATGATATATTTCTGGCGAACTTACATAAAAGGATGTCAGTGCATGAATTCATTTTTTTATTCATGATTTCATATATCTACTCATTCAAAACTAGTAAATCTGTATATGGTAGCTGAATGTAAATAGACACTACCTTTCTGAAATGTGGAATCTGCGTTAACAAAAACCGTGTTGTCCCCTGCAAATAAGAACTTTATCAGTTAGTCGGATTAAACTAGGATATACGTGTGGCAAATACATTTTCATGTTTCGTATAGTCCTATCCCAACGTGCAGATGTGTGATCCTCACAGCAATCACATGTCACGGTTGTTTCATAAAACGATAAAGAAAATCACCAATTCTGTCAAAAATGTGTCTTACAAACTGAAATATTGAAATGACAGATATACGAAATTCAAAACTTACAACTTAAGACTCAAAAACAAAAACAGATAAATGAAAATCCACTTGTTGTCTTCATCACTAATTATAATATTAGATCTCCAAAGGGTAGAGGTAGCACTTAGAATACAAAGACGGTCAGACATTTTTAATGCACACTTTTACTGGTTCTAAAAAACATATAACTTGTACTGCAAAAGTGTCATCTTCGTGTTGTGCTGAAATGCCAGCATTTCATTGTCTAAGTGTGCACTTAAACATATGCGGCGTAAGAAAAAACTTCCATAAGGCAGACTCTTGCAAACCTATAGATATATAAGCTCAATAAAGAAACACAGGTTACAAAGTTGAGAATACAAATTCAAGAACCATTAGAAACAACAAAAGAACAGCCAATGCAATTGAATGTTACCAAAAAAACACTCACAACAAGAACGGGAAATCCAATAAGCACCACGCAAGTGCCCAACTACTACTTGACAGAAACAACAGTTGACAAAAATCGAGTACGGGAACACATACATTCTCTTCACATCTCATGCAGAGGCTCTCGAGTTGGTAAAGGGGAGCGTCTACATTCTCGGAGGCCACAGCCTCTGCCACTGAACCAACGTCCACAATCTGGCTACCGCCATTAGCTGAATCCTTCATCTCCATTGGTAAAATGACTCTTCAAGAAAGTGGGTATCAGTATTTTCTTGACACCTCAGCTTGCTCAGCAAATGTATTGGATTCAGACCAAAAATTTCTTCCACTGCTTTATAGGTTGTTTTTCAATTGTGAAAGAAGAGGCAGAAAATGCAAGAACACCGGTGTTTCTGGAAGAGGTCGAAGGCTTTAGAAAGAATGAGAAGGTTTTAGTGTGGACATAGTTTTGCAATGTTGAATGACCAGTAAAGTAAGTAGAATAATCAGATCATTAAGCCGCCTTAGCTCAGCTGGTAGAGCGCGTGGCTTTTAACAAGTAATCTAGACGTTGCTAGAAATTAATGATCTGATTATTCTACATGCTTATGTTAAATATCCTATTTTTTTCTTTGGAATTTCATCGAACACATTGTCTGACATGCTTATGTTGTAACCATCACATAGTATAATACCATTACAGCAGCAATAACAATATATTTCTGCAATTCTTACTTCATCTGTCATACCAAAAAGCCAATGAATTTCATTAAATCTCAAAATTACCAAAACCTAATTACATGATGTACAACAAAAATTGAACCATTGGTAAAGAATAACTGTGATACCTTAGTAGGGTTGATGAAGCTCTACGGGGATGGGTGGACGGTGGACGGCGGCGAGAATGAAGCCTCTGAACTGAGTCTGAACTCAGTGATCAACCCGTTTTTAAGTTAACTACAAAACGACGTCGTTTTATCTTTGACAAAACGATGACGTTTATTAAAATTAAAAAAAAACGGGGTCGCGTCTTTTTTAGTACACTGGTTCTACCGTCTCTGTCTACGTAATAGTTAATACCTCTGGTTCAGGGCACCGATGTCTGAACTGTGGATTCAAACCCTAAATGTGCCAGAATGTCTGCAATACCTGTGGGTGACGTCACATCCCGTTTCACCATTTCATGATTGCGTCATACTGAAGAATGACGGGCCCAACACGAACCGGAAAACTAAACCAAGATGAGCGCGGATCTAATGGCCGCGAGCCCACATGGGAACCTGGATGAGAAGATTGCCAGCTCATGCAGTGCAAGCCATTGTCCGAGCCCGAGGTCCTTTTTCGCGCTCTATATTTGCTTTTGTTTTGGTAATTTTTGGTGTACATTCTTACAGATCTGATCGGATTGGACGAGTTTATGTTAATGTTTCATTTCTGGAAATGATATGGTGGTATTCGTTTGTTTGTTTTTATGATTTTGAATTTAGGATGCTCATAGCTAGATTTTGCTTGGATCATTATTCGGTGTTCGTTGGGGAAAGCATTTGATTCGTAGTTTAGAAAGTTGTGAATCACATTTTTCTGTAGAATGTTAGAACTGTTGAGCGTAACAGTTTAGTTTAAAATAATGCCTTCCCTTTTTTGTGTTGTGTGTGTGTGTGTTTGGTGAATTGGGATGCAAGTTTGAGAATCTATCCCGATGAAGTTAGGAAGATGAGGAACTTGCAAAGTATCTAGTGAGAGCTATAGAGAAACCAACAGTTTTGAAATGTGAAGTGGATTGTGTTGATTGTCAGCATTTTTGTTAGCTGCGTATGTGTGTTTGCGAGTTCCATTATAATTTGTGTTGATTGTCAGCTGAGCTGATTTGGGGCCTTCCCTAAAATTCACAAGACATTAGCCACTGAGTTCAACCAAATGTAAAACTCTTTACTCCTAACTATGGATAAACTCTGTTTAAAGAGTTCATTATTTCCATATGTAGGTTAGAGGCTTATGTGGAAAGGCTAAGGAAATACTAATGCAGGAAAGTAATGTCCAGGTATGAATTTGCATTTGCATTTCATTTTCATAAGGGGATTTATTTTAGAGTAAGCTGTATATACTGAAATACAGTATCTTTCTTTTGGGTGGTTTTATGAAAATTGGCTGGACCTCAGATTGATTTATTTGTTACTGGATGCAGCCTGTGACAATTTGTGGTGATATTCACGGCCAATTTCACGACCTCGCTGAACTTTTTCGCATCGGAGGCAAGGTATTTTATTGACTATGATGTTCATAAAGCTTGTATCACTCTCTGTTTGCACTAGGAGAAATCAATCTGCGAGATCAGTCAACGGACCGGACTTCATAATGGACTATGTTTATTCATAACAGGTCGAAATTGAATAGAAATTTATCTTGTCTGTAGTGGCTCTTAGTTTTGAATACAATAGGCGCCGTCACTTCTTCACATGAAAAGAATGAAAATATGAATTTATTTCCATGTATGCTGCTGCATGTTTTCTCTTTGATGATGTTATGCTACTGGTCATCTTGCATCTATCTGAAATGCGGTTGGTTTTGTACAATGATTCTCCTCTGGCGTTTTTTCTCATAATGCATGGAATTTGTTCTAAAATAGTTTTGCAATTTACAAGGGGCCTGGCATTATCTGTACTTTTTGTTAACCAGACACTAACTACCTATTTATGGGAGATTATGTTGATCGTGGATACTACTCGGTCGAAACTGCTTCTGTAAGTTCATAAGAAAGATAGATGCAAGATGACCAGTAGCATAACATAGTCCATCATGAATATAGGCCATGAGCACCACACAGTGATTAAAATAGCTCGCCATGGCGCGAGGCGAGGCGAGGCGAGGCGGGACTTTGACGCCTCATATCCTTGAGGCGAGGCGGCCTTGTGAAAGGCGACGCCATGGCGTCGCCTCGGATGTAGCGTAGCATAGCGCGAGGCGACGCCTTATGAAGGTGAGGCAGTTTAGGTATTTTTATACCTAGGGTTTCAATTACGGGAGATTAAAACTTATCAATTAACAAAAATTACTTACCAAACTACAAAATTAGCATGTGCCTTTTGTTCAACCGGCGACGGCGATCAGATTCCGGCAGCTAACCGGCGACGGCGACTGTACATGTTCCAGTTTTTCCTTTTCTTCTTCTTTTCCTTTTTTTCTTTCTTACTTCATTCATTCTTCACTAGCACGACAATAGTGCCTCTTGTGTAAGTCTCCGGCTCCGTCTAAACTTCCGTCGCCGGCGGCCGGAGATGCTGACAGCAGCCGGCTGGGATGAAAAGCGAACAGGGGGGTCGTCGCCTGGGCTTAACATGTTTTTTTTTCTATTTTTATTATTTATTATGTTTATTTATGAATGGGGAGCATTAACTTTGTTTTTTAATACACAGTAGACACTATATTATTTATGTAATTGGGAATTTGACATAATGTGGGATTGTGTGGTGGGTTGATGCTTATTTTAATTGGGATCATGTGGGTTGATGCTATTTCTATTTCTAGTTTGTTTAATGTTGTTTTTATTTTAATGTGTAGTGTTTTGTTGCATGTTTATTAGTTATTATAATTTATTTTATATACATAATTGTGTCATAATTTGGTAAAATGTCACATGTACATATATTTTTAGTTTTTGTATAATGGCTCGCCTCGCTTTCATAAGGCGGGCGCCTCGCCGCACGCCTCACGCCATGGCAAATCGGAGCCTTGTCGCCTCGGCTCGCCGCGCGCTATTTTAATCACTGGCACCACAGTTTCTGAGCTACTGTGGATCACTTATATTCTGCGGGATTTCTGCACCCAGGTGTCATACCTCTGTGGTGTGATAATACAAATGCTCAACCATGTTCCGACAACAATTAAAAAGACTGGCACATACATTCATTTTGTATTTTGCAATCTTCTTTGATTCTTAGTAAAACGTGTAAAGAGGATAAAAGCATTGGTCGCCACAAAGAATTTGATCACAATTTTCGGGAACAGTTATATAGTCATATTAGACATTGCGTGGCCAAATAATTTTTGTGACTCGGTATTGACTTCTATTATATCCTTCATATCCCACAAGTTTCGGATAGACGATAGGTCCTCCATACCAGCACTACAACTGAATTTAATATGAACATGGAAAAATAAAAAAGAATAAATTGATGTAAGGAAAAAAAAGGTACCGTTCTCCAAACAATCCTCTCATAAAAGTATCCAACATCGGTGGACAATTTGAACCTTTAAACTCAGGGAATATGTGCCATGCAGGCGAAGAAGATCACTTTTAGTGGAGGGAGAAGCCCAAAATATATTCCCACATAGACAATCTTTCTCTCTTTGATTTCAAAACTATAAGTGTCAGACTGGTGAGTGAAAGATTTTTGTTGTGTGCAACGACCACCGTATCAATCAAGCCTCTCAACACCTTTCGATATTTGGGAGGAATGTAACAAAAGGGCATTTATGACTTGAGATTCAATTCTACGGTTGGTGGTCTTAGTGATCGAAGAGATTGGATGTGTTGATCGAGAGTTTTCTCAAGATACTGATACACAGTATTTCCCACACTACTGTCAACCATCAAGCAAGGTAATGGAGCCTCTATATTTTGTAGCACTTTAATCCTAGTATCCGACTCAGTCAATCTGTCGAGTCCATCAACAGTATTATACTCGTACTCGATCATTGCGAAACGTTTATCCACGTTGTCAGCCATTGAATATCAAACTTGCAATAAAAAAATACACAAAATTTAGAGCTATATCGAATTGAGATGGGATTCTCTTCCAAAGTTTTCCTCAATTAGTTTTGAGGTACTTCTACTTTATAAATTAAAATGATATCGAATTGTTTTACAGATAATTAACGGTGATCTATGGAAAAAACTGAAAATTGAGATATACACAGACCACATTGGTCTGTAAAACAATTCTATATCATTACAATTTACAAAATAGAAGTACCTTAAAACTAATTGAGAGAAACTTTTGAAGAGAATCTCATTTCAATTCTATATAGCTCTAAATTTTGTGTTTTTCTAGTGCAAGGACGATATTCAATGGTGACATCGTGGATAAACTTTCGCGATGATCGAGTACGAGTATAATACCGTTGATGGACTCGACAGATTGACTGAGTCGGATACTAGGATTAAAGTGCTACATAATATAGATGTTCCAAGTATGTATCCTACATTGGCACTCTCAGGGATAACCTTACCTTGTTTGCTTGATGGTTGACAGTGGTGCGAGAAATGTTGTGTATTAGTGGTTTGAGAAAACTCTCGATCAACACATCCAATCTCTTCGATCATCACTAGGACCACCAACCTTATAATTGAATCTCGAGAGTCATTTTAGAAATGCCCTCTCCTTTTGGTACATTCCTCCCAAATATTGAAAAGTGTTGAGAGGCTTGATTGATACGGTTTGCACATAACAAAAATCTTTCACTCACCAGTCTGACACTTGATAGTTTTGTAATCAAAGAGAGAAAGATTGTCTATGTGGGAGGATATTCTGGGCTTCTCCCTCCACTAAAAGTGATCTTCTTCGCCTGAATGACTTAATTTAGCATATGTTCTTGAGTTTGAAGGTTCAAATCGCCCACCGATGTTGGATACTTTTATGGGAGGATTGTTTAGAGACCAATGGTACCCTTTTTTTCCCCTTACATCAATTTATTCTTTTTTATTTTTCCATGTTCATTTCAAATTCATTTGTAGTGTTGGTATGGAGAACCTATTGTTTATCCGAAACTTGTGGGATATGAAGGATATAATAGAAGTCAATACCGAGTCGTAGAAATTATTTGGCCAAACAATGTCCTAATATGACTAACAATGTCCTAATATGACTGTTCCCGAGAATTGGGATTAAATTTTTTGTGGCAACCAATGCTTTTATCCTCTTTACACGTTTTACTAGGAATTAAAGAAGATTGCAAAATACAAAGTGAATGTATGTGCCAGTCTTTTTAATTGATGTCGGAACATGGTTGAGCATTTGTATTATCACACACCAGAGGTAAGTGTATAATACAAAGTGAATGTATGTGCCACGTTTTACTTGGAGCCCTTTCCATGTGTTGAGGTTCAAACATGGTAAGTGTATATTACCCCTCTCTTTCTTCGTTGATCTTTTTTCATGCACCTTGCTTTCCATGTCCATGCATGCGTCCAATATCCTACAAGAGTTAACATAATAAGATCATGCAAAATTTTCAAATATATATAACATATATGAAAACTGAATTATATATATAAATGAAGATCTTCCCTTACATTCCTTTTACTTGCATGAATGAATCTTCAATATATTATTTTTGAACTTATTGCCAAAAATAAATCTTTCAATGTTCCCTTTTGGCATCTAGTTCAAAAATCATATAGTGAAGATTACCTATACAACACAGGTGTAAGAACAACAAACAAGAATAAACTAGATAATACACATAAGGGATAGATTACTGCAGTAAGATCATCACGGATTTCAACTGTGTAAGAACACATTTCTTGATCAAAAAGCATCTACAGCTAATAATCAAGACACACTGAATATCATTACTTAAAGACAATCAACCAACATCATAAACAAAAACAGCCATAGTTCAGAATATTCAAAACAACCAGAATACCCAAGCACCGTCAGAAAATAATAGTAGCAACCACACACAAAAGACAAATAGCTAAGAGGTTCTTATACATAAAGACCTCACTACATCACTCATAAAAAAATAAAATAAACTGCCATCACCGTGAAGGAGATTCTCCCCTGACTCGTCATCATCATCAGCATCTTCATCAGCACCCTTCTCAGCTTTCTCCTCCTTTTTCGAACTACGGGATGTCGAAGGGCCAGTCCTCGCATTATTACGTCTCTTCCCTTTAGCTGCCTGAAGAGCTTGGCGAAGATAGGCTTGTTGTGCTGTGACCTTCTTTGCAATGACGTCCACTCGGCAATCTGCTGCACCAAGAACTCGTCCCACTTGGTAGGCACCATAGAAGGAATAAGTTCGACTTTGGCCTTGGGAGTCGACTTCTCGTTGATAGTGCGAGCACTCACAGTGTGTGGTTCCCCGGAACCACCAGCAAATCATTAAAAAGGGGAAGGGATGAGTACGGCGAGAATCAGTGTTGACAACAAAGGACTGAATAATGTCAAACCAACTTCCCCAAAGTTCACGACATGACCAACCATGACCCAATACACTACCTTGTTGAAGTTCAGTAAGTTGATTCTTATTGGAGGTAGGGTCCAATTACTAGTACCAACTTTATGAAGCCAAGACAAAGAGAGCCAACAGGAAGATTGGAACCAGGCCAAGTATCCAACTGATTATCAGTCAAAACCGTGGTCAGAGTATCAAGATTCACATGAGGTAAAGAAGGAAGATCGAGTGACAAACCTAAATGACTGTTAATCAAAGCAGGGGAGAACTCAATAACACGATTTCTAAGGAACACTTTATGGTAACGACGACTGTCTGGTTAGAGCACAACAGACGTCAAGTTTACAAAAAATTCCCTAACAGCTTGGCTACAAAAAGGTTGGAGATCAGACTCAGTTTTGGTTAACCCAACATTATCAATCAGTTGTAGAACACCATATTCAACTAACTTCCCATCCTCCACAGGCCAAAACCCATAAGAGGTAAACAACGTTTCGAAACGATCTTGAGCAGTTTGAGTATAAAACCTGTTAGAAAACGCATTGGGTAGATCATAGGCATCATCTTCAGTTTCCTTCTCGACAAGAACTGGATCCATAGGTTCTTTACCTCGGCGTCGAGTTGAGCGGCGAGGAGAGGATTTGGGTGGTGGTGTCGCCTGGTCGGAATGAACATCGATGGAATTAGCATCGTTGAGAGAGCCTTCCTGAAGTGATGTGGCAGCAGTATCATCCTTCTCGCCATCTTTGGTGGATGACTTTGCTCCTGACGTGGGTACAACACATGACTCCCCCTGAGTCGTACCTTGAGGCGCTTCCTCGAGGGGGTGGAGAGGGAGAGATTGGAACATCAGCAGCTTTTGGGAGAGGGCGTTGGAGTGGGCGACGGAGAACGGCGAAGGTCCACCGGGGTTACTGGTGGAATCGGTGTATCAGACAGTGGTGATTCATGCGAACGCGCAGGGGACTCAATGATGGTGCAACGAGGGCGCTTATGAGCTTTCACCTTGATTCTCTTTTAGCATTTTTTGGATTTGTCGTCGCTACCAGCTATGGTGTAGAAACAACGATGAAGAATTTGGAGTTTGAGAGAACCGTAGAAGAGAAATTGGGAATTTTGAATTGAAAGAGAGAGGAGTTAGGGTTCAGATTAATAATGAGGGAGAGGTTGCGTGTGAGAAGTTAAAGAAAATTGTCAAAGGATATGATTAAAGGCGGTTTCCAAAAACCGAGGAAGGAAGATAGTGTAGAGGGGTGGTTACCAAGGTAAGAAATCCCCCCCAAAATCAAATTCAAATCTCTCCCTCACATGCTCAACTTCCCACCTTAATTCGAATTTTAATTTGAAAAATCAGTTATTTCATCCCAAGATATGTTCTACACAAAGGAAATCTAAGACCCAATTAATTTATCTTAAGTAAGGAAATCGTATGCATTATGCCTAATTATGAAGGAAACAAAGTAATATAAATCACATGCAAAGGTCACTAGAACCTATAATTTCTATTCTTAGTCCACTTAGGCAAGATATTGATGAAAAAATTAACAAAGAACCAGTTTTTGTATTACATACTAACCAAGGAACAAATTTTTGGGCGGATCGTTTTATTATGTAGTGCAAGTCATATCTCTCCAAAATTCGAGCACCATATAATAGAAGCTTTATTATTCAATGTGCGTTTCACTTGGTAACAATCATCGCAATGACGAAAACCCCATTACTTTGCAACAAAGATTTTAAGCAACAAGCAATAATTGGTGCAAGAAAACTTGAGGATGTTCATAACGCTTGTATCACTCTCTGTTTTGCACTAGGAGAAATCAATCTGCGAGAGCAGTCAATGGATCAGACTTGAGGATGGACTGTGTTGTCATTCATAACCGGTCGAAATTGCATAGAAATTTATCTTGTCTGTATTGGCCCTTAGTTATGAATACAATAGGCGCCGTCACTTCTTAACATGATAAGAATGAAAATATAAATTTATTTCCATGTATGCTGCTGCATGTTTTCTTTTTTGATGATGTTATGCTACTTATCATCTTGCATCTATTTGAAATGCGGTTTTCTTGTGTATAATGATTCTCCTTTGGCATTTCTTCTCATAATGCATGGAATTTGTTTTAAAATAGTTTTGCAATTTACACGGGGTCTGACATTTACTTTTTATTGACATTGTCTAGACACTAACTACCTATTTATGGGATTTTATGGTGATCGTGGCTGCTACTCGGTCGAAACTGTTTCTGTTAGTTCATTATAAAGAGAGATACAACCACAAGCACATTGTTAGTTTGATGATTACTGGTCTCTGTCATGATATCTATCCTAAATATGATAAAAATACCCATGTTCAGTTGCCTTGCTTTATTTCATTTAAATGGCTAAGTATGATTATGGACTTATTTTCTTAGCGTATAACAATTCTCAGGGACAACTATATTGGTCCCAACTTGTTATTTCAGCCAACTGAGGTTCCACATTTTCCGATAATTTTGAGGGCATTCTTCAATTTCTTGCTTTTGGAATCTCTGACCAGATTTCAGCCATGACTTATTATTCTGATGTATTCGGGCCTTGAGATTCTGGGGCCATATTTTATTTCTGTCACATCAGTAAAACATATTCAATTTTTGAGAAAATCCTTCCCCTATGGCCTATGGGTTCATTTATTTTCTGTAAGCAAAAACTTACCCTAGAAGACCAAATAGGAGCTCTCTCAGCAACATTCCAGTCGATTATTCACTTTACTAGATTTTTTTTATCAGCTTATTTTTTTATAAATGAATTATAGTTTTTCCAAACATTTGGAATCAAATTATCAGATAATACAGTGCAATATTATTATGATCCAATTAAAAGGGCAAAAGAATGCAGATGTGTATGTGTCAGGAGCCATATTCTTGGTCTTAGATCCTGTTAGTCTGCATTTTAAAATTTTCATAGAGATAAAGAGGTGCATGACGTTTTGCCAAAAGCAAACAGCGAGTAGTTAGGAAGGTAATTTAACTTCAGTTTCTAACTTTCTATATCAAACACCAAATTTCAGAGACCGATGCTATCAGTTGTCTCCTTGTCCATTTGCTCTTAGAATGTGCAAGTACTGATTCTTTTTTATGTTTTATTTTACTTGACCAAAGTGACTATATTTGGGATTATTTTCTTTTTCATGCCATTAACGTGGTAGTCAATATATACATGCGAACACGTGTGAATCATTGAACTGTGATAATGTTACCAAAGACTATTATTAATTTATATTTTATTTTTTTGAAAATTTAGTTAGTTCTCTGTGTCACCATAGTTGCAATATCTCGATTACTAATCTCCGATTTTCTCTTTATTCCTCGTGTATCAGTGCTAATAACTTGTGCTAATATTACTGATCTGTTTGACTATTTCCCTCTAACAGCTTTGGTTTGTTAAGTTTATTCGCTCTTAATTTTTGCTGTGATCTAGCTTGATATGTACTAATTTTTTCATCTTTGGAGAAACAGTTTCATTGTTTATAGATTATAGTGACCCTGAGTCTTTCGAGAATTATGATTATCTGAAGGTTTCCTATAATATATATCCTTTGAAGCATTCTTTCTTTCTTGATTCTATTTTCTGAACATTGTTGGATTTATTAAAATGTATTTCTTCTGGTATATTGATGATGGAATAGGTTGAATCAGAAATCTTTTGTTGCACGCTTGATCGCGTTCAAGAAGTTCCGCACAAAGGTCCTATGTGTGATCTTTTGGCCAGGTACACTCATCTGCCATCTTTTCAAAAAAATATTTTAATAAAACTTTTGAAATAATTTACACACTAATAATAACTCACGATATCTCGGAGCAATTCAACCGTACAAACGGCCTAAAGCTAATTGCAAGAGCGCATTAGCTAGTTATGGAGGGATAAAACTGTGCCCATGTAAATATCTTCTTCTGTGTTATTCCTTATCACTTTTTAGTTTTTACTCTCTTGTCTAATATGAACCTAAGTCGATTTTTGACTTGTTATGTCAGGAACAAAATGTTACTATTTTCAGTGCTCCGAATTACTGTTACCGCTGTGGAAACGTGGCGTCATTTTAGAAGTTGATGATTGCAGAGAATGTTTTTGCATGCCCTTTCTTCAGATTTGAGCTTTCAAATGTCCCAAAGCCTGTGTTTGGTAAGCATATAAGCTAGTTTATAGTTTATTTGATTAGTTTATAGGCTTCATGTATCCAAATAAGTTTGTTTTGGTAGGACGAGCTTTTTAGCTCGAGCTTATCTCATAAGCTTCCTTGGGTAGCTTTTGAAATAAGTCAATTGAAATTTTTATATCACCTAGCTTATCAGCTATTTTTACCAAACACTTTTATCATATAAGCTAGTTTTCAGTCATAATTCATAAGCTATCAGCTATCGAAATTCACTTAAAAGCTATAAGCTAGCTTTTCAGCTAAGTTTACTGGCAGTCTTTTGAAGATATTTCAAATGCATGGAACCATGACAATTGTGCAAAATACACTTTCGTCTACACTTTTCACCTAGTTTCGAGTTGTTCCCCGATGAGGGAAGTTGGATTAACGATGCTTCAATTATCGCGTTTTGTGTATTCTTTTTCACATTCAACTAATCATAATTAGCGATTGTTAGTGAAAATCTGTGTGTGTAAGTTATAGATTAATGGTCTTAATTGTCCGTGATCCTCTCTCTCTCATAGTGGTAAAACTCAAAATGCATTCGTTTATGGTACTTCATGAAACAACACACATTTTGCAGAAAATACCTGTTATGAAAATTAGCTTCATTTTTTTTCCTCTAATCTCCTAGAATGTGCTTACATGAGACCCATAATCTTGTAGCAGATATTTTTCAAATTGCACAATTTGTCAATAAAAATTCAATTATTGTGCCACTCTAATTAGTATGTAGCTATTTACCCACAAAGGACAACATCACAGCACAAAATTCCCAATATTTTCAATACCTACTCTATAATACTAAATTTCATGTTCAATGATTGATCTCATGCATGAAACTTAGTTCTTGGTGCCTGAATACTGCATGTTTGATATCCCAAATAAGCACCACTTATATATATTTTTGTGTGTGTGTGTTTTGCTTCTTTTTTTTTTTCTAAAGCTTTTGAAGATGATCATGTGTTTCATTTGTGCTTAGTAAGTTTAAGAGATAGTGGTGCAGCTTTTCTCCATGACCCAAAATAGCCTTCTTGAGTTACCTTAACCAAACGGCTCAATAATCGAACATGTTTTCTCGTGATCTTTTTCGACTTATTTTCTTGAAATCCATCTGCATCTGAATATTTTCCAGTCACCATCTGATTTTCTCCGTCGTCTCTGAAGTGTTGAGCAAGCGTGCATCGTCCTTCGATGAGTTGCTTCAAGCTGATTTTCTCTTGTTGGGTAACATTTTTCAAAAAGCAATCTTTATCGATGATATTCTTCTCAAAACCATTATTATTCTCCTCAAAGCACTCTCTGGGCTCAATTTTGAGGTTTAGATGGGATTTTCTTGTTCTTTTTGACATAGAGATGTTGTAATGTGGTTTGGTGAGGTTAATTTTGCTTTGGCTTCCCATATTTTTCCCGTTCTTTTGTTGAGGAAAATATGTGGGGGATTTGAGGTGTTTAAATTGTGTTAGTGGTGATTGCAATTTGCATGTTGTAATTGAGTGAGTAGTATTTTTAAGCATATGGTGGACTAATGACACATTTTAAGCGATTGTGTTTTTTGGTTTTGAAGTGTTAAAGTGTCGTTTTATATTGGTTGGTCTATTGCAATCTCGAGTGGCAAAATTGATAAACCGACACCTTCAAGAAGGGGCAATATATATTATATATGTAAGAAGCCTTCTATGTTCCCTTATTTTATTATATTTTTAAATATCGTATTCACCTCAAATTTGTTAATTTGTAGATTATAGTTAAATGTTGATTTAGTTAAGTGACAATGTGATGTTCCTCTTTATCTACCTTGGATGCGTGGAGAAAGTGAAATTTACATACCAGACTTTTCTTGGTAGGTGAATTTTGCCTATTCTGTTTTGTCATCACTACAAGTCTACAAATACTCAACAGTAGTACCGTCCTAGTCTATTTGTTTTCACTTAATTAATTGTTTTCTAATTAAGCATTTCATGTAAACTATTTGCTTAAGAAATCCAAATAAATTCCATTTCTTGTTTTTTTTTTAAAGTATAAAACTTGGGGATAAAACTTGCAATAATTTTCTTTTTATTATTATTATTCGTGCTATCTATGGTCTTATCAAATATCTAGGCAGGTTTTCATTGTTTGAAATAAAATGTTAAAATCCTATGCATTTTGTTGACAAGTCAAAATTCAAATATAATATAATTTATAAATCTTCCAATAAAGACAAATCTACGAAAAATCAAGATATAAAATAATGAAGTTTTCCATAAATCAAGATATAAAATAATGAAGTATCTCCTTTCTGATCTTAACAATCTTAATAGTCTCCTGAAATAACCCGTATTTGAACTCGTCCTCCGGAGAATTTTGGTTAAGTCTACGCATAAAAAGCCTACATCTTAATTTGAATTAGAGTCTTTCTTGAAAGTCATGACTCATGATTTGTAAAGTCATTTTCACTAGGCATTGTGAATACTTTAAGGTATATATAAAATAGATAGGGTAAAGTATATAGATTTTGGAAAATTTTGTGGAAGATGCAAAGTTTATGTTAACAGGACACAATTTTTAATACTTTTCTTACTACTAAACGAGATTTTCTCAACTCTCGTTTGAAAATATTTTTTTAAAAGACTTTGAAAGTAGATGTTAAACAGTCAAAAACAAAAATATGTACTCAAGCTATTGCTCGTCTGACTTCACAAAAACGGTAAATTAATAAAACGGTANCCATCAAAATCAACTCTAGCATCAATCACAATTAAATTTCATACAGAAACAAATAAAAATAAATGAATGCTTTTTACATAGAGTCAACAACAATATGAAAATTTTACACATAATCAATCAATGGAGTTTGTCGTAATTAAACATTATATTCAAAGATTCTTGTTCGAAGTTCAGCATGTTTTACCTATAGGAGAAAAAATGGTATCATAAAAATTTCAAATGGAAATACCATAGAAATATGATTGTTTTTCTTAATAACTACTTAAGGCCAGACAGGTAGGGTATTACATAGAGAATGGTGAAAATGAAAAATTAAATATATGTGAAGATATAACAAATGGAATAAAACTTATGTATATTTGATATTGTTGATCACTTGATCTAGAGTACCGCAATTTACATAGATTAATAAATAATTATTGAATTTAGGTTATGATCATTTATTAAATATAGGGTAATTAAAATGTCACATTCTTACTTTAACTCTTCTTTTTAACCTTCTTATTAATTGGTAAAAGAAAAAGAGTGCNATTAAAAAAAAAAAAAAAATTATGCATAAAAACAAGTTGGCACTTGGCTGTGAATTAAACACATTTATCAATGCTAGCTAGTTGATAAGATTTGATTAACATAATAAATATTGGACAAATTATAATTAGGGCAGCCATCAACTCGAACATATACTTTTTATATTTACAATTACAATCACAACAATAAGATACTCTCAAACATATAGAATTAACAATTAGATAGTCATACTTTTTTAATATATAATTATTTATTGAAATCTATATGTCATATTATAAAAAATAATATTGACAAAAGTATAATATTTATAATATAAATATTTAATTTATAAATATTGTAAAATTCTTACTTTTGCTAATATTCATTTTTAGAGTAAGGTATTTTATTTTTAAATTATGTATTATGTTAAAAAAGTATGAATAACTGTCTAACTATTAGAGTTCACCCCATTTCATTACAACATTGAAAAAGACCCTCCCATCTCTTCATAAGCTCGCTTCATTTCATTACATTACTACCTACTGGTTAAAGAAATCAGCTTTTACAGTTGAAAACCCCTAAAAACAAAGAGAAAAGAAAATGAATTATTATTCTCACATTCTAATATTCACAATAATAATATTATCCACAACATCTCTTCAAATATCAGCCGTCGGATACCCTATCAACATCTGGCCCAAGCCCACATGGACCGACTGGTCCAATCCACAGGCCATCAGGCTCTCCGACAACTTCAACATCTCCGGCGCCCCCCGCCACCGCCACCTCGCCGCCGCCATCCTCCGCTACCTCAATCTGATCGCGAATGAGGCCCACCGCCCCCTGATTCCCCCGGCCCTCAACCTCACCTCGTCGTCTCCGCTCAAAACCCTCAAAATCAGCGTCTCAAACCTCGCCGCCGCCCTTGCCCACGGCGTCGATGAGTCGTACACCCTCTCCGTCCCCTGCACGGGGGCTCCAGCGTTCCTGTCCGCGTCCACCCCATGGGGCGCGATGCGCGGGCTCGAGACCTTCTCCCAGCTGGTGTACTCGGCGCCGCCGAGGGTGGCGGCCTGCGGCCTGAGGATCTCCGACGCGCCAATGTTCGGCCACCGCGGCGTGCTGCTCGACACGTCGAGGAACTACTACGCCGTGGAGGATCTTCTGCGGCTGATCCGGGCGCTGAGTATGAACAAGATGAACGTCTTCCACTGGCACATAACCGACTCGCAGTCGTTCCCGCTGGTGCTGCCGTCGGAGCCGCGGCTGGCGACGGAGGGGGCGTACGGGAAGGAGATGGTGTACACGGAGGATGACGTGAGGAAGGTGGTGAATTACGGGATGGACTATGGGGTTCGGGTCATGCCGGAGATCGATATGCCAGGTGAGTCACCGCCTGCATTGTGTTTGTTGTTTTTCCCCTTACAGTCATTTTTTCAAGATTTTTACCTTTATTCTTAACGAAACTGAATAAAGGAAACACTAAAAAACGCGAGCAGACAGTTCGAGTAGAGCCGAACAATGTATTTGCTTGTGCTTCTTTGAATTTTTTGTTGAGCTTCAGAGACATTGTTTGATTTGATCTGTTTGTTGTGTTGATTCCTAGCTTGAATGCACTTTGGTTGGGGAAAAAACTAAAAGATAGGTTCGATTTTAGTTACGTACCGTCTGAGATATTGTGATTGATAATTGAATGTCGATTTAGGTGGAAATGGATAGTAATGGCAGTATCGATACTTGAATTCCATTAATCAATTCAAGATTTTTAGAAAGTGACTTTTGTTTTAAAAGTAATGTCATGGAACGAGTCTCAATTTGTTGTCTGAATGTGACAATCGTTCTAAAGCCAAGATATCAACTTGATGTGTATCTTCAGAAGCAGTGGTACTGTGTGGCACTCAGTAAGGTCGGTGGTCGATAGATTTGCCATTTTGACAAGATTTGTAGATGAGGAAAATTCATTTTCAAAATGTTTTTGGGTCTATAGATCTTGGGGAAACAAGTTTGATAATGAAAAAGAATGAATTTTGTGTCCAACTCTACTCACAAGAATAGCTATTTACAACTAAACAGTCTAAACTCATTGACTGTGGATTATGCTATTGTAGTGCTATTTTGGGAAAGTTTTGAATATTATCAAAGGTCAATAATGAATGCTTGGAGAAGGATGTCAAAGGTCAATATCCCATTTTTCGTCTTTTGTTACTGAAAAACTCGTAGAATTCGAACTGCACCAAATTTTGAGATTCGACCTCCACATGGTATTGTGTGTTTGGGAGACTGTTTTTCCTTAACATTACATCTCTTTATTGTAGATAGTCTTAAGAAGCTCGTCTTGTGCAATGAGAGTTGAAATAAAATCGAAATTCATTACGCTATAGTCTTTGGCTATTCCGTGATCGAATCGCATGCTATATTCTAGTTTTGTGATTTTGGGTTACTTTTTTTATTTTTTTTTAATCCAATTTTCACATGTGCAGCCCATACTGGCTCATGGGTCAAGGCCCACCCAGAAATCGTCACCTGTGCCAACATGTTCTGGTTTCCGGCAGGCGCCAAATGGGAGGACCGCTTAGCGTCCGAGCCCGGCACCGGCCAGCTCAACCCCTTAGTCCCCAAAACCTACAAAGTCGTGAAAAACATCATCCACGACGTCACCAAAATCTTCCCTGACCAATTCCTACACGTGGGAAACGACGAAATCACCCCCAAATGCTGGACAACCGACGCCAAAATCCAAAAATACCTCTCCGGAAACAAATCCCTTAGCCAGGTCCTTGAAATATTCGTCAACTCCACTCTACCCTACATTTTATCCAAAAACCGAACCGCGATCTACTGGGAGGATGTCCTGTTAGATGATAAAGTCAAAGTGGGCCCCACATTGCTCCCGACCAAGAACGTGATCTTGCAGTCTTGGAACAACGGCCCGAACAACACCAAGAGAATCGTGAGCTCGGGCTACCGAGCAATCGTGTCCTCGGCCGACTACTATTATCTCGACTGCGGGCACGGGGGTTTTTTGGGAAATGATAGCGAGTATAATCGGGCCCCGGGCTCGGATCAAGGAAATGGAGGGTCTTGGTGCAGCCCGTTTAAGACGTGGCAGTTGATATATAATTACGATATAACCTATGGTCTGAGCAAGAAGGAGGCAAAGATGGTGCTCGGTGGTGAGGTGGCGCTTTGGTCGGAGCAGGCGGATGGGACGGTGATGGACTCTAGAATCTGGCCACGGGCGGCGGCGGCGGCTGAGTCGTGGTGGTTGGGAAGTAAGGATGTTAAGAAGAGGTATNATAAGCATCTCCAATGGCGTATTGTCTATTTTTATTTTTATTTTTTTCTTTGTGTTTTCGTTTATTCAGTGTGAACTCTTGTTTTAAGAGTATCTCTGAATGACACATTGTTCATTTTGAGATGTATAACATAGAAAAAAGAAATCAAGAAAATTGTGTTGTTGATTTGATGTTAATTGTAGTATAATTTGGCATGTGTAGGATTTTCATTGGTTGGTGAAGAGAGGGAAATCGAATAAATAATATAATATATAATAGAAGATGTTTAGAAGTATTTCTACACTTAGAAAGGCTTCTAGAAATTTTTAATGCGATATATAGGATTTATTGCGCTACGCATAGTTTAAAATGGCGACGCCTCGAGGCGAGGCGACCGAGGCGAGGGCCACTTCGCCTCGCCACTGTCTGAGGCGACCCTGTTCGCGAGGCGCTCGCTTCAGGTTGCCTCGGCTTGCCTTTTTGCGTGGCGAGAGGCGCCTGTGAGGCGCGCCTCGACGCCTTTAAGAGGAATTAAAGGGGCAGTCCATTTGAAAAAAAAGAAAAGAAAAGAGAAGCGACACTTTTTGGAAAGAGAATAAAATTAAAACAGATCGAAAGCAAAAAAACTTCAGTGTAAAATCTCTAAATGGCTTCTCCCCAAACTAGGGTTTCTACGAAAGAACTCCCTAGGCTTCTCGGATTTGAAAATTGCAGAAACCCATGGCCGACCCATCCCATTTCCGGCCTCCTCTGATCTCCGGCCACCATCTCGCCACCGCCAAGACGGTCGGTGATGCATGCCTTTTCCTTTCTTTTCCTTCTCCCTCTCTCTTTTTCCCGTTCCCGTTTCTGTCGTCTTTTTTTCTTCTTTCTTTCATTTTTTACTATATTTATGTTAACTAGTATGGTCAATAGTCAAAGGTGAAAGGATGCAACATTTTTCATTCATTTACTTTTATTTTACACTTTTTATTTACCTTCTTTAACTTTTTTCTTTTTTTGTTATACTACAGTGTAAATTCAATATTTTTGCTTTGTAATGTTACTAGTATTCACATTTAAGTTTTAGATGCTTTTAGTAATTACAACTAAATTTAATTTATATTATTTTTTTAGGATATTTAAGGTTATTTTTGGTACTTGAACTTAAATGTATGATATTACTATATATATTTAAGCTTTGATGGCTTGTATTGCCGAGGCCTCGCCATGGCGATTCGCCTCGCCTCATGGCGAGGCAATGTGCCAATCGAGAGGCGAGGCAATGTGCCAATCGCCTCGCCTTGCCATTCGCCATTTAAAACTATGGCGCCACGTGACAATGAAATAGAGCAATCAATCATGGATCATTGGAGATGCTCTAATGGGTATGGTGATGGCTGGTTAGGTGTTCAAATGGTAATCAGGTGGTGCAACTTGTTAACTCCATTTGGATTTGGTCACTTTTTGAGGCAAACAGGTAAGTGATAAATTATCAAAAGTGACAATAAGAAATCATTTACATTATCAAAACTGTGTCTATGCTCGAGATATGCTCTTATTATAATTCCCCTTCTGTGGAACGTTATTGCATTCCTAGGTGTACACAAATGAGTAAACTATACATATGCTTCCAATATTTTCCCATATTATGGCTCAAAACAATGAATATAAATGGAAAATAAAAGGAAGTGAGAAAAAAATTGAGTAAACTGTACATATGAACAAGGTAACTGCAGCTGGAGTAGGTTTATGCTCACTGCTGCAAGTTAAGCAGCACAGCTCATTAGCTTAATCTTTTGAATAACCCAATTTTTTTGCAATAAACACATATCAACTTTCTTGCACTCAACCACTTAGCCTTTTTGTTCATTGCACAATGGTTCAAGATCTGGCCTATAAATACCCCCCACAAAACCAAAAACTCAATCATGAAATTACTCCTTCCCCTCACAAACTCCCTTTTTCTTAAATTTCTTTAATTTCGACTATGGCGCTTTCAACCCCATTGGCTCGTTTTCTTGCCTCGGCCATCACCATTGCCCTCTTACTTACACCCTCGGCCGATGCCATTACATGTGTCGACGTGATCAAGAATTTGATACCCTGCATTGGCTACTTAAAGAGTGGGAGTGCGGGCCCACCGGGCCCCTGTTGTGCTGGCGCCAGAAGCCTTGCGTCGGCCGCCAAGTCAGCGGCCGACAGGCAAACTGCTTGTGGCTGCCTCAAGACAGCTGCCAATACTTATAAGCCCAAGCCCGAGATCGCAAAGTCTCTCCCGACAAAGTGTGGGATTAAGTTGCCATTCGAAGTCTCACCGAATGTCGATTGCTCCAAGTAAGTGGAATATATATATATATACATACACACACACATATATAAATATATTTATATACATACATATACATGTGGTTCAAATGAGAACCGAGTCTTAGTATGAGAATTATGAGAATCGCTATTTTTAATTGTACCTCGTGCTACGATTAACTATGTTTTAGTGCTATATTTAATCGTGATGTATTTTATTAAAAATAGCAATATAATTTATATTAGCATTTGCAAAAATATAACATCATGTGATATTAAAAATAGCAGCATATACAATTAAAAATAGATCAAATACGATTCTCACACCAAAACTAGTTTTTATTTGAACCAGCCTTCGATATATATCCTCTAAGTGATGCATTTTTTATCATAGTTCCTCACGTTAATATTTTCTACTTAGTCCTATATTAGTCAACTAATTAAGTTCTTTTGTAAATATTGGTGCACGCAGGATCAAGTAAAGAATAAAGATGTAGAGTTTGGTTTGCTGAATCATGAACTACGTGTAATAAGCTCGGGTTGGATCTGTGTTGTGCCCCAAATTTAAGATCCGAGCCGACGTTGATTGTTATTTGTTAGTATTGAGTCTTTCTACTGCATATGGTTTGATATTATAAATGGTGTCTATGTTGTAACTTCTTTGTGTGGATTTTTTGTTTAAAGGAGGAATTTTGTGCTGCAAATCAGAGCTGTGTGTTGATGTTTATTTACTTTTATTCAAATCCTTTTGGGTTTAAATCAGTGAACTAGTACAATATGTATGTACTACACGCTTATGAGAGAAATACCGTGATTTAGGAGAAATACAATTTTAAGATAGTAAGCTTGCTCCTTGTCCAAACTAAGATTAATTAAGAGAAAAATTAACCAAATTAATTAAATGCACAATTTGAAAAAAAAAAAATATATCTAATACCAAGTCTAGTTCCAAAGTTGGAATGAAAGTAAGTTGCTAATTATATATAAACCAATTAGGCATCATAGTAATGACTAATTATTTGGAGTCTGTGCTCCTAAATCAGAAGATTAATTGATAATAGCCACAATTACTATTTAATGAACCTTAGTAAATGTTTATATAATTAATATAGACTCTTCAATGTACCGAAAAAAAAAAAAATATAGACTCTTCAAAGCATTGTGCGAGATGTATAAGGTGTTCGATAAATTTTAGTTGAGACATACGGTGCTCATGAGGCAATCCGAGATCATTGAACTTATTCATCACTATGTTAATTATCATTGGGAATCATCACCTACTCAAAAATCATATAATCAAACCCAAATATTTCCATGTAGAAGATGGATAATAAGAACAAATTGATTGAATTAATGGATTTGTGTTTGCACTAGCAATGAGTTACTCTGCTCAGATAGTTTAAACTAGTTTGTCAATTTTGGATTTTTACATAGTTTAAAATCTTGTATCAAGGAGTCTCGATTTTAATTTGGTAGCTAGATGTATAGTTTATACTAATTTCTTCATTTGACATTATCTGTAGATAGTTTATTTTTATAAATTAGGCCAACTTTAGATAAGAGTTTCTTGTTTATGGTAGATTTTCTAAACAATCTTTTATTTATTTATTTATTTAAGTTGGACCAACTTCTACCTCTGTTAGAGTATCTCCAATGTTCCACTTTGAACATTAATTAAATTTGAACACATGTCAAATGATGAATGAAATGTAAATCCATGTAATATGAATGTCAAAAGAGAAGACTTTAATTTGGAATACACATCTCCAATGCATCCCTTTCAAAAGGTTAAAATAAGTTAGATTTTTGATGAGTTTGCTTTCAAACACTCTTTGGAAAACTAGAAAGTGGGCTTCACACTTTGGATATTTATTGTCTCCATGTCAGCATAAAAGAGTCCATAACATTATGGATTGGAAAGTAATTTTTATAATCACTTTATAACTTGATGATGTTGTTAACATTTTATTAAGTCAATATCTCACATTGAAAATGTTGTTAATGTTACAAAAGTCATGTGGTATTCGTAAGTTGAATGCTACGAAAGTGTGAATTGGGGTACGTAGTGCAAATAAGGTGTGTGGGTAAGTTGAATGCAGCAGAAGTGTGAGTTGGGGACTGTTAGAAAGATGTGTGTTAGATTAAAATTGAATGATTTATCACCTATATATATATATATGTTTGTATAACTAGCATTAATAAACGCAATTCGATTGTCAATAAGATGCACAGATTAAACTCTGCCACTTATTCCATACATACAGTTAATTATATATGTCACCACCCATCTTCGATCATTATCATAGCAGCTGGCCTCTCCTTTTCTTCTACTACTGTTGATGAGGCCGTGTCCTTAGAACCAAACTCGTACATTACTTATCGCACAATATCCCCAAACACCCCTCTTCATCCACTATCATTACTACATCCGCCTCGAATACCCAAAAACATTAATTTAAAATATAAAAAATAAACATTTTAATTTTTTTTAATCAGTCATGCCGTAATACATCACATTCCATTCTCTGACGGCAGTTCAACAGGAGGGAAAAGAAAAATTAGGTCTCATTCCAGAGAATGAAATGTGATGCATTACGGCACGACTGATTAAGATAAATGTTTATTTTTTATATTTCAAATTAATGTTTTCTTTGATCTCAATGGAAATCAGCTCTCTTTCCAGAGGAT